TTGTTGAGGATGTGTACCTTCTTCACTTGGAAAAGGTGTGGGAATTACTTTTTTTCATGAAAAGTACCAAAAGTTTACTGTCAAAAAAGTTAGGACAATTTGAAAAAAATAATGACAGCGTACGCAGCTCCCTCTAGATGTTAAATGAAAATTAATACGAATTTCGTGCAAATAACTTATTTGCACGAAATTTTCAAAAAGCGAACAAAAAAATTCAGTTTCAACACCCCGTATCTCCAAAATGAAGCATTTTCGGACACAGCGAATAAGTTCTACGAATACTATGACCTATGTAATATTTGGGATTGGGTAAATTTAAAAGTTATGCGATTCTTGATCTGAAATTCCCAAAACTAGTGATACCACCAGACTGAATCGAATATGTTCCTTTTCTGTAATTCCCGGATAATCTAATGCATTGATGAATGTATAATATACATTTTTAAACTTATACATTAAAGTTTAATGTATGGGTTTGAAAATATCTTCATAGGACGGAACTGCAGTAACGTTGGTTACAAATAAAAGTGGTAAAAAACCTAGAAAGTATCAATTCTCATTTTACGGATAATCTGTTATGTGGAGTATGGAATGGCCATAAAGATAAATATTGCTTATACAACAGCAGCTTTTTTGCCCAATTACTACAAAAATTGTCTCAATATGTGTTTTGGAATCTGGTATTTTCAGTGTTCCTTGTTGTTCACTAGCTCAACTGACATTTTTGTAAGTTATTCCCGTCTACACCCACCAGCTAACCCAATAAATATTATTGATCTGCTCGTTGCTGAAGGATTCTGATTTCTTCATTCTATAACCAACATTCTCCCTTGTGAAAAATGCGATAGCCTTTGCAAAAGTGGCTATGTTTACATTTTCCTTCATTAAAATGGTACTTTTCAACATAGAGCAATGTTCCGCATGGTAGAAGATTGAACAGTTTCAGATTTTCGCGCCAACTAAACCAAAATCACATCTTCTGTAATAGTTTTTGTGTTTCTTCATGTCCATCCATTTCAAGAAGAAATCGAACGTTTTTGTACCTGGACTTTGATTTTTCAGGCAATAATTGTACTGAACTAGAAGCTGCTGCATCGGAAATTTCAATTGGAAAATTTTCAAACTTATTATCCTGCTGCTCTCCAAAGTTTATTGCGATAATTGCGAACAAAAATCATGCAAATTTTCAAAATTGTCAAATTACTTCATGTCAGTCGTTATTCCGCTGTTGTGGTTATGATCAACTTCATTTATCATTCATCTCATCTCCACTGTTGAAATTATCTTCCATACATTTCAACAATCTTGTTTACATGTCATTTTCTTCTAGACATAATTCCAGACATATCGTACTTGAAAAGTGTGCCAATAAACTCACACCAGTATTTTGCAGACTTTTCAACCTGTCTTACAAGTAAGGGGTTTTTCATTCTTGTTGGAAGATTGCTCGCGTTCAGACTATTCCTGAAAAGGGCAAGAAAACTCTTCTAAATAATAAAAGACTAGTCTCTGTAGTTAGTGATATCAAAAATCATGGAGAAAGTCGTAAACCACGATATCCTTATTTGGAAGGCTTCAACATCTTGAACGATCATCAATATGGCTTTCTGAAGCCAAGATCAACAGGCGACCTTCTATCGTATGTCATCTATATTTGAAATTATGCAATTAAGAATCATGGAGATTGAGAGCTGTGGCGCTAGATATCTCTAAGGCCTTTGACCGACTGTGGTATGAAAGTTTGCTGGCCAAATTTCGATACTTTGGGTATGACTCTTTTCTGAAAAAGGGTTGGTTGAGTAACAGGATCATTTTTTTCTTAAAAAAAAATTGTTTCCTTGTCGACGTTTCGAATTTGAATAAACTCTTCTTCAGGGCTCGAAAAGTAGTTTTTCGTGTTAATGAAAAAATCTGTTTAAAATATGTTTTACCGTTAACCAGCTGTTTGGGAAAGCTCAATTGGTAATTCAGTTCAATTTATTTTGTAAATATGAATATTTCGCGCTGAATCGAGCATTAAGGGGCCAAAGCAACGTTCCACCCACAAGAAACGTTCATGACCTTCTGAAGACCAAAAAATCAGCGTATTAACAAAAAACCTATTTGTCCGATATATTGACTTTAAGTATCCAACGGAATGAACTCTGGTGCTCATGTCGAAGTAATCGTCATTGAAAATAACGCCTAATATATTTGTGGACATCAAAAGTGTTTTGTTTTGGGAATGTCATTATCAAAAGCGAAGATTTCCTCCAAAGGAGGTTCCCGGATCCACTCCTCAGAAAGGTATCTTTCCAACGCTATTTTTCAAGCGGACGACCACGAGGAATCAAAGTAAGTCCCTTAAGGTTCTCGTTCTTGATATAATTTTACCTATTGTTTTCTCTTTCACCATTATTTTTGGGAATAACGGATATCACCCCAACTCAGAATATTTTCCAACAGTTCATTATTCGAAACCAATTTCTGAGGCAAACTTGGAGGCAATATATTGCCTCCCAAAAATCCACAAACCGGGAAAATCAATGCACCCCATCGTGTCAGCTATTGGAGCTCTTACCTACCAAATAGCAAAGTGGCTCACTAAGGAATTTGAAACCTTGTCTATTGCGGAGCCAAGTTTTAGTATAAACAACTCTTTAGAGTGCATACAACATACAAAAAACGTGATTCTGCAAGAAGGTGAGATTTTGGTTTGTTTTGATGTTAGTTCATTATTTCCTAGCGTCCCAATTCCACAGACCTTGCAATAGCTCAGGGAGTTACTAGAGAAATATTATTTCAATAATAATAAAATCGATGAATTCGTTTCACTTACTAATTTGTGTATGGAAGAAAATCGGTTCCAGATAGAAGGTTGCTTATATGAACAACAGGAAGGAACGGCCTTGTCCCCCTACCTGGCAGATCTGTTCATGAGCAAATTCGAAATGGAAACCAAAGAAAAGTCGAAGTATTTTCCTAGGATTTGGCTAAGGTATGTGGATGATATTTTCGCGATATTTGATATCAAAAAATTGAATATTGACGACTTTGTTTCCATTTTAAATAATAAATGTCAATCAATAAAATTCACGTATGAGTTAGAAAATAAGGGACAACTACCATTTCTTGACGTTTTGCTAATGAGGAGCCAATATGGAGGGTTAGAATACGATACATTTAAAAAAAAACAACACGTACAGGTGTATTCCTGACAGTTCACATCACTGTGGACAGCACAAACGTGCTGGGTTGAATTTTTTAGTGCATCGTCTTTTGACTTTTCCTCTAACACATGATAAGTTCACAAAAGAAAGACGTACAATACAGGAAATAGCAACTACTAATGGTTTCTCGAGTGGTATTGTAGATGACATAAAAAGGAAGAAGAAGTTTAGGTTGAGAATGAACGAAACCTCGACTTTCAGAAAGGACAAAAACCAAGATAAATACATCTCAGTTCGATATCACCAATATACGAGGAACTTTGGAAATATTTTCAAGGAACTAGGTATGGAGGTGGTTTTTAAACAAGTCATACACTACAGAGCCTTTTGGGAAGTCCAAAAGGCAAAGTCGAGAATTCGGGAAAAGTCTGAAATTTACGAAATTGAATGTAAGGATTGCGATGCAAAATACCATGGACAGACAAAAAGATCTATCAAAGTAAGATTTAAGGAATATATAGCATACTTAAAACATGGAAGACCTGAAAAATCAGCAGTCTCCCATTATATTTTGCAATAAAACCATTCCATAGACTTCAGTTCATTAAGATTAGTTAGACAAGTTGAAAACAACAGGCAACTAGATGCCTATGAGAGTGTAGAAATAAGTGAACATAATATTATTTATTATGAATAACGATGACGGACCTATACCAAAGAGCATACTATATAGCTTGTTAAAATAAAATAATGTTGTTGGGTTTACTGATCACTATATAAGGACATATTGCAAAAATAAATTTGGATAGGCAATATTGTGAAATTAATTTAGGTTGGTATACCTGTATGGGTGGTACGCCTGGATGGTTTACCTGTATGGGATATCTATATAACATAAATAGGGCTAGCTCGCAATAGTTTCTAGTTTTAATCTTCCTCTTTGAAGATGACCACTTGGTGATCGAAACACGTGTCGAGGTGTTAAAAATAACGAGTTGGTGTTGGGAAAAAACTCCAGTAATATTCAATACCACACCAGAGGTTCCAAACAGTGCATCATAAGTACAATTACAAATGATATATTTTATTTGCAGAACTGAGTATATGTGGTAGAACGTTTTTCTAAATGATCCAGCGATTCAAATCCAACGTGAATCGCTACTTTCGCACAGGCACTGCTCTTAGAGCGCCTCAAGGATTTTCCTCTGGTGCTTGCGTTTCGTTCTTGAATAAAACTGTCCTCACATTCACAAAGAATATGATGAGCTGTCTGTGTCCCTTTGTTAACTAACAGAGTTTTCGTTGAAAAATGTAAATTCATCGATAACATTTTTAGATCTTGTAGTATAATTTTCAATGAATACATTTTTATCTTGAATCAACTGAACTGTGTGATAGTATTGAAGACCTGAGGTTCTCAGTGTAACTGTTCTAGTTCACTTGTAAGTAGTGAATTTTGTCATTTTGTTTGAAAGTGGTAAATGAAGGGTGACACGGTTCTTTCAATGTTGTGGATAATGAACTGTTGCCGTCACGAATGTAGATTAACTGTATGATTTTGCCGCTATCAAAATCCTAATAGTGGTTTTTACAGTTTTTTCTCAGTGTTGAAAAACTACACTTGCAATGTTGACTCCTGCCGTGCAGGTCCCGCGTACTTTTCGCCCTCCCCTCGTAGGTCCGCAGCGAGCCGACGTCTGACCGGCAGCAGCAGCACCACCACCGCCGACGTCGACCGGCGGCGGCGGCGCTGAGCGTCTGCGCACCTCGCGCCGCCGGGTCCTCAGCGGCATCCTTCGAATGTCGAATGTGGTTTGTTTCGTGCCATCATGCCGTTTCAGTGTCGATCAAGCTGGCGAGGTGTGCGCGTGCATTTTCCCTCAAGTTTCTCAATTCCAATCTAGTAACCATGTGTGTTGCCAACCGAAAACGGTAGACGATCGAGTCGAATTCTCGCGTGTGTGTTCGGTGCTGCGGCTCGGAAAAATGGGCCGTACAACTGGGGGTTCTCCCTCCGGCTAACGAATTTTTCTTGTGGGCCGGGGAAATAGGCCATGGCCTTTTTGATCACGGTTTGGACCACCCTGCTGTGGCTAGCCTCAGGTAAGGTGGATGTTTCTAGATTTGGTTTGAAAGTTTCAGGAGATCCGGATATTTGACCGATTTTCTTATGAATCTGCTCAACTATGATGTCATGACTTTACTAGCTTATTTTCAGGTAAAATTGACATGGATAACGTTTCAATTTCCATCAGTAGCTCTTTATAGCGGAGAAGCTACGAATCTTGTTTTTTAGTTTTGCAGAGATATCGTGAACCAGGTCAATTTATGACAGTGCAATTGTGTCAATGCAAAACATACCTACTTTGAAACGTCAACTACAACTTTCCAAATATGTCATGCCACACTTTTCATCTCTCAATTGACCCTCTTCAAAAATGCCAAAAAATAATGTTAGTCGGCAGTTTTTAAATGAAAAATTTGGCAATTGAAACACCTAAATCTGAAATTTTTGTATAATGGTTGGTTAAAAAACTTCCAGTTGAGACTTCAATCTAGCAACTAACGATTCAAATTCAACAGTTCATACTGTTCATCTAACAGTCTGTCAATTGACACTTTTCAGGTTGGCCAATTTGATAAAATCGAATCCAAACCGAGCGATTTGAAATATAACAGTGACATTTGACACATTTGCAGTCTAAAATTTTCACTCAAGGGTTTTGGAAAAGTTATTTATATTTAGAATTCAGGTAGACTTTACCCTAGTAGCTTATGTCAGGATAAAGAATACTTTTGACTTGCAAGTCATTTCATTTCTCACCAATAGCTATTGGAAGCTGCGAAGATATAAATCTACTTATTTTATATTTCAAAGACATTTTTGAACATCAACTATTCCTAAATCTGCAAGTCTATACTTTTATATATCAGTTAGCACTTTTAAAACATACTTACTATATATATATATATATACTATATAACATACTTAATATATTACCGATTAACTGACAGATTCCTTCCGAGGAAATGAAGGAAGCCATCAATTTCAAAAAAGGTAACTCCATACAAAAATGTGTAGATCATGCAAAGAAGTAACTTTCAGACACAAATTGAGTAGCAATCCTGTGAATGATATCTGATTCAATTCCATAGCGATTGTTTGGAATACAAACGTTTGTTCAATTATATTTGTTATTAGAGGAATTTTTGTTTTTAGATGGGGTCTGAAAGTCACTTCTTTGCATGATCTACACATCTTTATGTAGAGTACCGTTTTTGAAAGTGATTGCTTTCTTCCCTTATTTGGAAGATTCCCACATTTTTTTGGATAAAGATGGAGAAGTGGAAAGACAAAACCTTTCTTTCCCAAAAATTAATCTCCCCTAAAAATATACCTCTTTCCATTTAAACGAAATATTTGGTTATGAATGAGTTGAAAAACTATCATTTGACATGAAAGGTAGAAGTAGTTCAGGAGGTGAACTAGACTAATTCCTAACTTTAAAAACTGGTCATGTTGTTGGTGAAACGCGCGCAAAGAAGAGTGTTGCATCTCTGGTGTGTGGAAACAGCTCTTCTTGAATCTAATAATTCAAATTTATTGATACACACTCTTTATCTATAATTCTTTTGGTTGAAACTTTTCAAATATATCTACTGATAATATCAATATCTTATATTTTTGCTCAAAAATTGTGGAGTTGCATCATCCACATGTTGATTGAAAATAGAATCAGATTGAGTCGATTCATTCTTCAGTAGTTGTATTGTACAACAAAAATTTTCAGGGTGGAACAGAATACATTTCTGAATTTTTTGATGAACAGAACCAAACTATTTTTTCGTCAAGTCGTATAACTGAAAGTTTTCATTTTCCTTCAAATTTTTTTCTAACTGCAAATATGTGAAGCTCACATAGTGTACAAGTTAGTTTTCTCTTGAGATAGCAGAAAAAAATAAACCAATCAATTAACATTTAATCGTACTAATGACATGAATAACGTTTCAATTTTCATCATTTACGGAATAAGGTCTATGCACATAAGAACATAATGAGAAAGTTGTCTATCGATACTATTATATATATTTTTTTGATTGATGCAACTAGTTTTCCTTCATTTTCAATATTTTTTAATATTAACATTTGTTCGCAAAAAGGATTTGAAGCTTGAATAACTTCTAATTATTATATCCAAGCGCTTTCGATATCAGGCTGTGCTATCTTCTTATTGGCTCTACTCAAACTAAACGTTTTTTTTCTTCTTGTTTATTCTTTTCTACAGTTAGAACGCTTTAGTGCAGGTATTTGTCCTCCCCTCTCATCTGGATGTCTCTTTAAGGACAAATACCTGCACTGAGGCTTTCTGATTGTATAAAAGAACAAACAAGAAGATAGAACGTTCAGTTTGACTGGAACCATGAAGATGATAGCACAGTCTGCTATCGAAAGCGCTCGCATATAATAATTAGGAGTTATTAAAGCTTGAAATCCATTTTATGAACAAATGTTATTATTTTTATTTAATATACTTTTCGGATCTCCCAATAAAAAATGCATACTTACATTCTACTCATGGAAAAGTAGATGAGGTAAATCTATTCCTGAAGTTTTGTGTTTGGATAAAATGAATTTCTGGATTTTTTTAATCGTGGTCTGCAGATTTAGGGTTTAACGTTTTGTCTGCCACTGCAACATTGTCAAAAACTATGCAGCATTGCTGTACTTCACTGTCCAGTATTGTAATCGATGAGTGAATTTCAGATTATGATGTGTACAGTTTTATAAATTACTTGCTGTTGAAAATTATTGGCAAGAACAATTACCAATACTAGTATCTGCAAAAATATAAATCGGATATTCACCATGCTATTTCATAATAGCATTACAGTGCCAATGCAAAAAAGTCGAAATGTTTTTAACATTTTTATATATCAATGAACATTCTTACAATTTTATGAACTTAAACCAAGACATACACATTTTGAATCCGTCAGTTCACAATTTTTATTTATCATATTACACTCTCCAAATATGCCAAATGAAAATATGAAATATGTCAATTGACAGAGTTAGCCCAAAGAGTTATCCCAAAAACTCTCAGATTACATACAGAGTATATTCTTAGGAATTATAGAATATGTAGGGTTTGGTTTTCTGGTGTTCATCAGTTGTGCCTTTTCAATGTCGATGTTTTGCCATTATCTCTCAAGATTGGTGACTGCTCCTGCCTCGTGAGGATTGATATTCTTAAATTCACAACTCTAAAATATGTCAACTGGGAGATTCTGAATCTAACAGCTAAAATCTGGTGAATAATACACTCAATATATGACATTTTTGATCGAAAATTTTGTAAGAAGTTATGTTTTGTTCTATTTCCAATTAAGCTGGAAGTTGGTGGTCTTTTGCTAACCAAAAAATGCTCTTTTGTGTGTCTGAAATGTTTAGTCAAGCGGTATTGAAGAAGTTGCTGACTTTCTACTACAGCAGCCAATATATTTTGTGTTGAGCATTTTTGGATTTGATTGTTGTCGTTTCTCCTCGAAACGTTTTTGACCTACTCATGAATCACAGAATTCCAATCTGTCAATTGACATATTTTAAGTGTCGATTGACATATTTTGTGAGTGCCAATTGATAGACTTCAGAAATACCAATTGGTAGCTTTCTGAAGTATTGTTTGTTTTTTTTTTAATTTTCCATCGTCAACATTTTTAAATTAATACTCCTACCATTTCAATATTTATACCAATCTTAATTTTTACGATATCCAACCAATTTGTTTTAATTGTCAACACAATTGAAACATGTATTAATTGAAAAGAATTCACCACGTGCAATGTGAATAAGTTGAATGTGATCTTGTTTACACCAATTTTGGCTGATTATGTGAAATTCTTTAAATATTGAATGATAGAGATCCTCTTGATATATTGGCTGGGGGGCACTGACAAACAATTTCCTTTCATATATTAGATTGATGATTATATTATACAATTAACAAGTATCAAGCCGTTGGTAGAATCAACACTTTTTCAATTAGCGATTCAACGGGCTGAAATCGTTAATACGTAAATATCCACATTGGTCACATTGGTCAAACAAGAAAAACGTTTGCAGCACGCATAAAAGAACACATAAACAGTTTTCGGAATGCCACCCCACAGGAGGAACTGAGTTCAATTATGAATTCAAAAATTTTCGTTTCCAAAATGTCAAAATGTCAAAAACATGAAATTTCAATTCTATATTGTTGAATCTTCAACGTGAGTGTTTTCAGGCCAGGTGAAGTTTCATTTGAACGGGCATTTTACTCGTCAAAATACCTGTTATATCTGATGAAGAACTACTCTAGAGTGTGGAGAGAAGTGCTAGAGTACCATATGCAACTACCATCAGTGTTGAAGGCGTGAGCTGGAGTTTTGCGAAAAAAGGTCCATATTTTTTGTTGAAAATTAGAGAAGCTTCTTATCTGGATTTTTCATCCAATACAATGATTCCTAATTTGATTCAGAATATCTCGACATTTAAATATCTGGTTTCAAAAGAATGATGCCCCGAGTTTGTATACAGATCCTTTCCATAGTGGAAGAAAGGAAACAGTGGCCCGATAGATAACCTGATCTCAACTCATTATACCCCATAGTGGGTTATTGACTAGTAGTTAATGAAAAACATAATGAACATTCACTGTAAATTTTCTTCTGTCTGTTCTTGGTTCTATAATCTGTAGCTGCATAAAGATGTAATTTCAGTAAATCATTTTATTTGCGCTCATTTGAAATGACAGGTGATGATGTAATTACTCGAAGTTAGATTGCTCTGACTGTTGAATTATTATTTGGAAAAACAGAAGATCAAATTGAAAAATTGACCTGTTCCGTGTTATTTTACAGACGCACAGTATGAATACCCAATCTTTAACAAATATTGAATGATAGTCATAGATCAAAAGTACTACGAATCAACAAATGTGTGTTTGCCATATTTTGAAAACAGCGTTATGTTTTTTGGAAAGGAAGTTTTTGGCTTTTTACTACTCCATCTTGATACAAAAAAAAAGGGATGTTATGTTATTCTATATTGTATTTTGTGATCA